GTCCGAACCTACACGAACCCGCACGAGCAGGCGCGGCTCCGGTTCTCCGGACTCCGCCGGAGACTCCAAAGTAGTCCCCGGCGCAACCACCACGTTGCGTTTGCCTTCGTGCCTCTTCGAGGGGTGTCGCGTGACCACGAGAAGTCGCGCAACGCGCTGTACACCGTCTGGCACGAAGGCTACGCTCGTTGTCTTTTTGCTCTCGTTTCCGATCGTGAGATTCGCCGTAGGTCATAGCGGAGGCAGAGGCAGGTAGCGGAGAGAAACGAGAGCGTGATCGGCGGTAGTCCCTTTATCCGATGTTCCTTTTCCCTGAAACGTTTAAATGCCCTTTTTCTCGCTTCTCGTTCGAGAGTAACAACTCGAGAGCGAGAAACGCCGAGGAACGTCCTAAGAAGGATGACGCGCGCGCGTACAAGCCGCGATGTTACAATCGATGGCGAAGCGAAACGACCTTCCTGCGAGCGAGGACGCTCGCTTAGTTGCAAAAGGACGCTTGAGCAACGGCGACCCCTCGGCCCTCGCCGTTCGAAACTTGGCCGTTCGGTACTTGTATCGAGTTTCTCCGGGGAATCGTGATTCTTCCTGCTCGGCTACGCGACGAGACGACGCGTTCTCACGCATTTTTATCGCGCCCGCCGCGCGGGGAAAGCTTCGACTTCAATGGAATTCCCTCTATAGTCGATGCCATGCACGCCGCTCCACGCCGATGCTACCTTGCGATGATCGTGCATGCGTCCTCGCGGATTGAAATAACACGCGCGAATTAAAACGATGTAATCACGATCGAGCTAAGGGGCGCCTAGTTTATTGCGCGCCAGCGCACACTTGCTCTTTCACTCCCGATAGCGGAAGCGACAAACAAATAAATCTCGCGATAATGTTAATTACGAAAACATACGTGGTACAACGTTAGCGATATATCTTCCACTTTGTGATGGACAAAAATATTGCTTTAAATATTACGTACGAAAATTATATTTTTTTTTTATTAAATAAAACTGGAATTATAGAATTATATTTATTACTTTTCGTTATTAAGAGAAATAAGAACTAAAAGCAGAGCGCATTCTTTTTTCGCTTCTGATAACAAAAACGAATCTCGTATAATGTTAATTACGAAAATTATTACGCGGAACAATGTTAATGATGTATCTTCCATTTTGCACTAAAAAAATCTGGTAGTAGCTATCAAATGTTGAGTAAAATAATTTCAATTAAATAGGTTAATAGATCAAAAATAATCTTACTTTTCTAAATATTTAATAATTATTACCAAACAGTTGGTTATATTATTATGTTTGATAAACAATACTTATGAATAATACGGAATATAGTATAAATATTCATAGAAAAGTAAAATTACTTTTTTATTATATTAACCGAACGTTTGATTGTTTTTTCACTTAACATTTAATAGCTATTATCAGACTCTTTTTCAATGTGTGATAAATAAAAACATTATATATTTAAATATTACGTATAGACTAATACATTACATTTATTATTTGTCATTAACCTTTAAGTATAGCTTAAAGGTTAATGACAAATAATAAATGTAATGTATTAGTCTATACGTAATATTTAAATATTTAGGTGGAGTATTCAAAACATCCCAAAAAAATTTATTTTTATGGTTATATATCTATTTTTAATAAAAATGTATAATGAAATTTACATTACTCTAATAAGCTAAAAGAATGTAAAAATTATGAACTTTAAGACTTCTGGGTATATCTTTTATTTTCCTTTTCAATAGCAAGGTTTTAAGATAACTACAGCATGGAATGCTGTAATCGTTTATACCTATTTAAAAATTAAGAGAAATAAGGACGATAATTAAAAATGAAATGCATGCTTTTCCTGATATTTTAAACCAATACACACACACACACACACACACACTCTCTCTCTCTCTCTCTCTCTCTCTCTCTCTCTAAATTTGTTTTCCCAATTTTTTCAAACACATACTTTAAATTTTAATTTGATGTGATAACTGAGCTTAGCTGTAATCTACTTTCGTACAATGTGCACTCGAAATTCATGAGCAATCTCGAATACCAGGCAGCTATATTCTTCAGATTTTCTACAATGCAGATATTTCAAAAACGCATGATCGATCGTAGTCGAGCACTTAAGTCACTATGTGCTTCTGCAAGTCGCTTACTCGTAGGTACACCTTATCCATTCCGTAATGTGTAACGTCGCATTAATGGTGTCCAGGTGTTATGCGATACGGACGACGAAATACGATAGCTTCCTCGTCAACGGACGAGAAATGTTGCGCGTACCGACGTAATGTGGACATTGAGCAATTCCACAAGTCGCTCGCTCGCGCATGAAGCGAAGGAATATCGTTTTTCGTCAAGCTCTTTTTCCGCCTGCCGGGATCGAACGACTGTCACGAGGTGGTTTGCGAAGTGGTTCGAAATCCGAGCCAGTGAATACTGTTACACGTATTCGCACCGATGTAGAAGGACATTGTTCCACAGTAATATTAAGCTAATTGCCACAAGAGCTTCGGATTTGAAAGTTTTTCAACCAGAATGTTGAATAATAAGGAAAATAACATAACGCGCGTGTGAAAATTAAGACTAAAAATATAGCTCATATTACTCTCTAAAATTCTTAGAGTGAAAATTGAACCAGTCTTTGAAAAAGAATGAGAATATTTTTTCATCCTTGAAAAAGAGTGGTAAATTTTCACTCTTTTGGAGTGTGGAGATTTCCTCCAAGGAACAAAATCTTTATACAAAAAAAGGAATAAGATTTCATTTCTTTGCACTTTGGAGTGAATCTTACTCCAAATGAGTAAAATCTCATTCCAAAAGAATACAAATTTTCCACTCTTTTTTCAGGATGAAAAAATTTTCACTCTTTCTCAAAGACTCTGGCTCAATTTTCAGTCTTTTGGAGTGATTTCACTCTAAAAGATTTAGAGAGTATAATAAGATAACATTTCATTATATCTGGAAAAATATAGAAATAAGAAAGAAATATAGAATAAAAAAAAGAAATTAAGAAATAAGACAGAAACATTAGGTCTGTTCTTTTTGGCTGAACATTTCATCTTTCTTCCTCTTTTTTCCTCCTGGAGAGAAAAGGAAGAAAGATGAACTGGTGCAAAAGTTCAGCCAAAACGAACAGGACTTATATATTGAAAATAACAAATTCTGTTGACAAAAGAAACACAAAACATTACAGAATGTTCAACTTATTGTTAGTACAGTAAGGTATTTTATCTTACATTATCTTACCGAGATTCTTATTTAGTTAAGTTTTTAAATGTAATTCTCCAATTTTTTTTATATTATTTCCAATGTTTCGCTGTTCAAAAGTTGTATGTTTAATTAGATTCATGAACATTTAATTAAACTATTTTAGGAAAATGCTAATTTAACTACATACATATATATATTATATAAGCGTGACAATTGTATAATTTTAAGAAAAAAATCTGTGATGACACGTGGTTCCTCATTAAACGAAATATTTGATACAAGCCTCATTATGGATGATGAAAGCATGCCACGAGTATTATCGCGACATCCGCCTCGTCTGTTGCTATTGATAAGACGGGATAGGCCCACGCCACCCACGCGTGTCAGAACGAAAGTTAGCCCACTCATTCTTTCGAGCAAGTCGAGTTCAACAGCGCAATTGCTTACAAGGGGATTCAAAATAATATCGGGCACACGCAAAATGTCAAAACTATCGCTCGGATATCACCCTTATCTCGTGTCGACGTCGATTTCCAGAAATGGTCTTATTTTTTTATTCATTCTTATTATGGTTGAATAATATTTATAAACGCTTGTCTAAGATAACTTCCGCTTGATAATATTCCAAACGTTCTCACACCTTTAGTATAAATAATATGGAAGATCAAAATAGTAACTCCAAATATTTCATGTAGATCGTCGTTGCAGCCAAGGAGACTTCGTGTTACCGAAAACGTCTTCAATCTCTAGATCTAACACACGTAACGCGCAGAGTCGTTCATCTATGTGTACAAAGGATAAAAAATAAACACTCACGTCACGAACTTAACAACATAAGTTTACGAACATGCTGAAATTCCTCTTGCATTTTACTACGCGTCAATCAACACAGAGTAAAATGTCATGAAACTGTCCGTATCTCGCCGGAAATATCTTTTCACATTTAAAATGCGCGATACCTCGAATCTGAATAGTTGACTGGTCAGTTAATGTTGTGTGCAAGTTCGTGCAAGTTCGTGCAAGTTCGTGCAAGTTTAACATGAGACTACCTGTAGAGGTTGGACCGAAGGAAACCTCATGGAGCTCGTTCAGCGAAAGAGAAAGGAGTGTGAAAGACGAAGAGAAAACGAGAAAGAGACAAAGAGAAGGCAAGAGGCAGTTAACGAGAGACGGAGAAAGAAAAAGAAAGAAAGAGATAGAGAGCTGCTACAGGATAGGTAAGAGAGATACGGTCGTTGGCCGGTTCGGGCAAGGCTGCTGGCAAGGAGAACCAGGGCTGTAGTTACAAATAAAGAAAACGGGCACCTCTATCGACACCGCTGCTATAATAACGGGGCGCGTACGAGAAAAGATGCGAATCGTCTCTCCGTCCGTCTCCCGCCTCACCGAGGGGCCCTAAAAACCGGTGCGCTACTTGTAAACCAGTTCCAGATTGAAAAAAGCACCTGGTGCTATCGCGCGCGATGTTCGCGAAAATAAAGCGTTATCTCAGTAAGCTTATTCCATCATCCAAAAATTATAATCGGATTCATCGCAATACGATTAATGAGATTTACAGTACCTACATAGAAAATACGACGTAGTAACACTATACTCAGAGAATCAGAGGATTTAATTCCAAGGCTAAAGCATCTTATACTTCGTAATTATTTTAAATATTCATATACGTTAAAAAAGTATTTATCTAATCTTTTTAGTTTTAGAAAAATAGATTTATATTTTTTAAAATACATT